TACATGTAAGTACCCGCGAAAACTTAAGAAAACATATATATATATATATATATATATATATCCAGAAAATAGCATTCAACAGATCAGTGTAACAAATGAAATATTAATAAATGAAGTATAATAAATGAAATAAATGAAATACAGCAACTATTTTATTGAAATGCTTTCATGCTCTTATGACAATAAACTAATTCATAGCATAATGACATAGCATAATGAGTCAACCACCCAAACAGAAGAGCAAAACAGCCAGGTCTGTAGTATCCTAGAACTTGTGATGTAGTTACTGGTTAATCGAAGTTCTGTCTTTTTAAACGTAACTCTGTTGTTAATTATTTTAATGAAGAAATGGAAGGTTTATTATCAAATTTGTAGATGCCAATAAATTCATTAAAATAGTTAAGCTACTAGAATATAAAAATAATAATAATATTTTGAGAAAGCGGGAGGAATAGGTTGAAAGTAACAGAATGAATTTTAAAAGGATCAAGTGAAAAGTTTTCACTGAGAGAACAATATCAAATGGCCCAGGGTGAAGATACTAGATTTGGTAATAGCATTTGTAAAAAAGATTTTGACATAGTAGTTGATAAGCACGCAGAGCAGAATGCCTGCAAAGAATAGAAATGCAATTCGAATCTGCAACAACAGTATAATTTCTAAGTCATGGAAAGCTATCATTTTGCTCTATTCGTTTTAGTCAAAGACCATCTTAACTATTATGCTCAGCTGCGGGAGGCCCAATCACAGAATTGTCAGAAACATTGGAATATATTCAGAAAAAGAGCAATAAAAATGAGTAGAGGAATCTCTGTATCTTTGAGAAGATAGCTGATAGGAAATATGATAGCTCTTATCTGAAAATGGTACTGACAGGTGTATTTTTTATCCATCCATCTGCAGACTGAAAGAATAAAAATAAGACATTTTCTGTATGTTAGTTTTTGTTTTATTGGTGATCAGATTGGTTTGCAGCTTAAGTCACACAAATACTCCTCAAATTACCTGCAGGTTTGTATGTTCATTATTTTTGGCAAGTTTAAAAGGGACAAGTTAGGCAGGTAGAATGTCCTCCCATACCCGCACCCTAGATTCACAGACGGCAATGTTGGTAAACAAGGCTGCTGAAGAAGTTGAAGATTAATGGCAAAAATGGAAAAAAGGATCAACCAACACCAAAAGAACATGTGATGGATATAAACATTCCCAGGAAAAGGACAAAACAGTGTTGGGCTAGAAAAGGAATCCGAGCATGGTGGAGGAAGTATACCATAGAACAAGACAACACTGAACCAAAAGCCATACTAAATGGCACAGTTGAAAACTTTTCAAGAGGTCACTTAGTATATAATCTTGGTAAATAATCAATTATTTAATAATCATAAACAATAATCATTAAATAATCATTAAAATGAACAAGCTAACCATTTTAAATATTTAGATGTTTCAAGCACCTAAAACCAAAAAAATCTATGAAGAGTCATCCAGGACATGGTTGTCCCAAAGGTGCTTGAATATGCTTCTCTTCTCATCCAAGAAACTTTTTCAATTCTAAATAAGTGAAGCTTTTCTTGGATGAGAAGGGAAATGTCTTCAAAAAAACAAAATCCAGTTGCCTTTTGAAAAAGCAACTTTGAAAGAATCTTAGAAAAACCTTTATTAAATTTATATTCATCTAACATTGGCAAATGGATTTGGTTGTGCATATGAATACCTATTCTTAAAGCATTTTAAAGAAACTGGGGGAAAATGAAGCAAGTTCCAGTAATTCATAGAAGAAATGAGCCTCCCTTGAATTCTTTCATATCATCTATCTACAGGTGGTCTGTGTTAATTGAATCCTGGATCACTCTGCTAAAAGGAATCTGCAGACAGTAGTAACATTTGGCAGGACAATCAAGATTTTTCTCTATCAAGGTCACAAAAAAGCTGTATAGATAGAGAAGCCAGCAGGAGTTCTATAATGTGAGTGGAGTGATTTTCATCATCACCAGCCATCACAACTCTTCCAAAAGAAAAGAAAACCATCTGTCATATATAGAATATAGATCCTTTTGAAGAACATAGAATTAAATATTTTTCTTCACATCAGGCCATTCCAATCAATTAAAAAATTGGCCGAGGATTGACTAAGCAACACAGATTTCTAGTCATTCCGGTTTTTATCTTATTTTTCTCTCTTCAATTCTTGCATGCTTTTTAAAAAAATAATTATGAGAAACAGTCTCTCAACCATAGTTAATATTAGTTAACAGTTAATACTACTAATCCTATTGCTAGTTAATTGCTATTATATATTATGAAAAGTTGTTGGTTCTAATCTTGTATAAATTTTCTGTGAAACTTAAATGTTAAATCTATATGGTTAACATTTTTCAGATTTTGATTTACATGTTTGGTATATGAATATCAGTTATATACATTAATAGACAGCACCACTCTTTATTGAATTTGTGATTGCCAGTATGTCTTGTCAAAACATAAATAGCAAAAGAAGTTGAGACTACCTAGCTCAGATATTATTGCAAATGAGCAAAAAAGCAAAGAAAAAAATATCGAAGGATATGAATCATTATGTCTATTAAAACTGAAGCCGGTAGCACTGAAGCCTACATCTGTCTTGCAAAGAATCCCAAATTGATGTAAACAGTAGGGAGAAATATATGGGATCTCAAATGTATATTATAATATTGTAAAAAGCTCTGCTGGCAATATAACTTCATTTTTTTTTCAGATTTACAATAATAGCACATCCATTTCTTTCTGTGTATGTATCTGTGTGTATACAGTAACTGCTTTGCTGAAATAAAAACAGTGCAAAATAATTCTGCATGCTAATACATACAGAGACAGCCAAAAACAGCTGCTAAAGCAGCCACATAATCCTGTTTAATTATTAAATATTCCTTTCGTTTCAGAAAATTTCCACAAGTCTTCTGCAATACAAATGAAGGCAAGCAAGCAAGCAAAGATATAATGCAAAATACTATTTTTTTCTGTCCAGAGGAAATTAAGCCAGTGATTTCTGGCTAACCTCATAATATATCAGCAAAATGTCAGAAGAAGATGAGGATGACTAGGATTAGACTATATCCAAATTGCATCTGGACTGGAAATGGTTCAGAGAGCTAACTAAAAGTTACCCAGACTGAGGGCAGTCACAAATTATAATGAAACTAATGACAACTCAAATTGAATGAATGACTGAGCAAATAAATCCATCAGGCAATCTCTGCTTTCTGAAGTTTTCAGATTTGTGTAGATTTAGGCATCTTAATGTCAGTTTGGTGTAATATTTTCTACATTGACTAATTTTTTAAGAATATAATCTTTTAGCACTTCAAAAAATAAACTTGTATTAGCCATTGCTATCACAATTCACTTTTTCACAACTGCTTTTCAAATCTGACTCAAATTCAGATGTGGTGTTTTAAATGTCACAATGTATCTTGCAATTAAAGTTACCACACCAACATTATCATTGCAAGATAAACATAAATAGTTATGTTGTCCTACTTCTAGCTACTGAATGCTGTTGAAATTTAATTCTCACTTCATGTCTAGGATTTTATTTTTGTTGTTTTATTCATGAAGATATGTCCTTTTTTCATTTCAAAAACCTAATCTAAATTTTGTAGGTAGCATAATTAATTTACAGGCAAAGATGTTAATACTTTATAATCAAATGTCATTAAATATCATTATGTGTTAGACACAAGCAACCAGAGCCACTGAATAGCTGAAATCAGTAACTTAATGTTACAAGAATCTCACCAAACTACTTCCCTCCTCTGGGAACAACAAAATAAAGTGTCAAGCTTATGTCATTAGAGGCTGTGCAACAACTCCAAGTAAGGTCCTAGCTTGACCCTCCATTCAGACTAACTGGCAGTTTTCCAATATCATGCTTATTACCAGGCAGCTATTTTAAACAAAAAACATCCAACTGAAAATATTTCACATGCTGCTTTGGGCATATAATATTGCTTCATGTAGAATGAGGACACATACATTATTTTTTTTTGCAAAAACTGTTAGTAGTTGTGTATCATTCTCTCCAGCTCTGGAAAATCTCTTTATAAAATTTATATCTAAATGCCACAAAAATTGTTCTAAAATGCTGATGTTAAAAAAGACTATAATTAGCAAATTGTATACAGATGATTTAGCCTTTTGTGATATATATTGATTAGCATGTAAAACACAATAAAGAGTTATCTGTTTATTCTACCAGCAGTCAGAAACAAAGTTTATGAAAAGCCTTAATAATTTATAAAAGAATTTAAAAAGCATATTAACCTCTGTTAACATTAAAAGTAGATGTAACTGCTAGATAACATATTAAAATTAACTTACCTGTAATAATATTGGGCTTTGGTGGCATGATGAACTCATATAAAGTTGGTTCAGAATATCCCAGCCTGTTTATAGCAGTAATTTGCACTTCATAGCCCATTGTCCACTGCAAATGCTCAAGAATAATGAAGTCTTTATTACCATGAACCTTTTTTTCTTGCCATTGCTCTTCCTTATCTTTCTGTAAAGTTTGAACAGTAATTGAAATTATAGTGAACTAATATTTACAATAAATACTTTTAATATTGATTTGCAATTATTTCAAATCAGGCATTATGACTAGTTTCCTTTTGAGCACAGAGAGTCATCTACTTTTAAATCTTTATAAACTTTATTTAAAACTAGGTTATAAAAACCCAGACTCTTTTAACTTAAGTATTTGATCTTGGAACAAAATGCATATTCTCTGGCAACAAACTGGTTATGTATGTACGCTGAAATTACAATATTCCTGTTTCAAATATCAACTTATTTATATACACAGCCAAACAACTTTCTAGGTCTCATCTTTAATTCATTACTAGGTGTGTGAGCCACTGGTTTGTTTGTTTGTTTATTTAATTTATATTGCCGCCTATTCACCCAAGGTGACTCGAGGCGGTTTACACAATGTAAAATCATATTTAAAACAAAGAATTAAAATTAAAAATTAAAAACAATACAAACTAACAAAAAGAATCAATTAATAAACTACAATAGAACAAAATCTGGAAAAAAATAAAAAAATAAAAAATCATCCCCCAACTCCCACCCCCTGCCCGACGACAGCAGATCACATTAGCCATTTGATGGGCTATATCTGATTCTGGGTTCCCCAGGCCCACTGGCAAAACCAGGTCTTCAATGCCTTTTGAAAGAGTGTTAGAGTGGGGGCCATTCTAATCTATGGGGAAATGATATTCCAGAGAGAGGGACCCACCAGGGAGAAGGCCCTTCTTCTGGGTCCCACTAGGTGTATCTCCCTCAGGGATGGGACCCGTAACATTCCCTGCCTCCCCTCTCTAATGGTTTGAGTAGATGTGACCAGCAAGAGACGTTCCTTCAGATAACCTGATCCCAAGCCATGAAGGGCTTTATGTTATACCTGATGCATGGCAAACAAATATACAAACATAAGCACACACACATAAGCATTATCATACTGTCTTGATTTATAGAATGAAAATATTTGATTTTTATTTCATAACACTATTTTTTTTTCATTATATTAAAATAGTATCTATGGAAAGGAAGAAATTAGTACATATGAAAGGTCGGATGTAGGTAGTGGCAAAAATATGGTGCACAGATGTCAGAAAGCACAGGTGGCAAAAATTACTCAATAATTTCTGGTATGCAATTGTATTATAGGTTTATTATAATCTGCATACATTAATTGAAAACACTTTATAACATATCCTTAATTCATCTTCTTAGTCCTTGAGTATTACTTGGTCTTTGATTACACAAACATGGTTTATAATTACTCATATGGTGCAATAAAAGGTGTGAAGTATATACATAGACAAGAAGATAAATTATCAGCCACTATTTCAGAGGTTGCAAAATATTTACATTGCTTAACTAAAAATCCTGTTGCTTCTAAGTCTCATATGTTCTGGTAATAATTACTAAACACTATGAGAAACTATGATGCCCATGGGTTACCACTGTGATGCTATATTTGCAAATCCTATTTCCATGTCTGAAACGCCCAACATCAATGTAAAACTGCCATTGTCATTACCATCACCTTCAAATACAGAAAGTACAAAAATGTATTTTCTAACTAATGAAAAGGACAGGCATGGAATGTCATCTTTTCTATTTTCTAAAGCACCTGTAAGCCAGACTATAAGGTGACCATCGTTTTTACAATGAGGAGGACACAAATAAATTGAAGAAAAAAAACAAAGTCACTTGCGCGCAGCGCACTCTTGCACACGGTGCACTCTTGCGCGTGGCACACTCTCTCAAAACAATTCTCCTGTGTGGAGCGCATGCATTTCATAATCGCGTCTCACCGCACTGTACCAAAACTTGATGAATTGTCATGTCAAATACAAATACATCATATCACACACAATGGATCGGATCAGCATCGATCAAATATGGAGATTTCCAGATTACTCTTCAAATATCAAAAAGGAGGACAAGTAGGAGGACACTTTTCGAAGGAGGACAGAACTTACAAAAGGAGGACTGTCCCTCCCTAAAGGAGGACGGTTGGTCCCCTTACAGACAAGGAATAATAGATGGAAACTGAACAAGGACAGATTTAACCTGGAAATAAGGACAAACTTTCTGACAGTGAGAACAGTCAACCAATGGAATAGCTTGCCTTTGGAAGTTGTGGGAGAGTCATCACTTGAGATTTTCAAGAAGAGATTGGACTGCCCTTTGTCAGAAAAAGTGTAGGGTTTCCTGCTTGGGCAGGGGATTGGACTAGATGACCTACAAGGTCCCTTCCAACTCTGATTATCTCTTATCTTATCATCCAATTTAGCTTGCATCCGTAGACTACCTTTGGTTGGATGTTGGCAGGGGTGGGATTCTACCAGTTCGGGCCGGTTCAGGTGAATCAAATATTAATTTTATACCCAGTTCAGCAAACCAGTAGTTCTGAAGAACAGCCCACCTCTCCCCTCCCAGGAATCCCCACAAGGCCTGTCTGGCTCCCAGGTAAGTTTAGCATAGCCTACGGGGAACAAAAATGGGATGTGGGGGTTCCAGTGCTGCCCCCCATTTTTTGCTCCCAGGAGACTCCAGGGAGGCTTGCTAGGCTAAAAACGCCGGCCCCCAACCCTGCTTTTGCTTCCGACACCGCCCCATCCCATTTTTGCTCCCAGGAGGCTCCAGGGAGGCTTTCTAGGCCCCGTTTGGGTCTAGGAGGCTTCCCTGCAGCCTCCTGGGAGCATCCAACCATCCAGCATGCCTGGATTCAGTGTTTAGCCAAAAAAAAAAAAAACATTTGGAGCTAATTGATTACTGCCTTGGGAATGTTCTGGGTAAACAAAACTATGCTGTCTCCTATAACTGTTGGAGCCAATCTTCTTTCTTTCTTCCATATCCTCCTCTTCAAAACTAGTAAGTTGTTCTGCTTTTTCATGCCAAGCTTAGTGTGGTAAGTTCAGAGTGGGTTTTGTAGAGAAAAACTTACCTTTAAGTCTCATTCATTTGCTCAATTTCAGAGCATACATTACACAATTTTCAAAGCATAATTCAGACTATTCAGCAGTTTGGCTAGCTGCTGCTTCATTACTTCTATTGCTGTCACAACCTTTAGGGAGTCCAATGGCTTTTTAAATTTGACAAGCAAAAAACACAGTAAACATTTCTCAAAAATATTTTCCCTCTTCTACTTCGAGGTTCAATATTTAACATGCAAAATTATGTGCTGTGTTATTATTAAGGCAGTTTGCAAACTTGTGTTTTTTGTTGTTGGAAGGCAACTCTTTAATTTGAAGATGGTGGTAAATTCTTGGTAATAAAATGGCAAGTAGAAAGGCTCACTTCTACTTGCCATTTAGAAAGGGTTAGTAAGAATAAGAAGGTTAACCTTTGCTTTGTTTCCAATCTCCTTTTCTTGATCTTCATAAAATGTAGCTTTGGAATTGAAGCCATATGTGTTAAAACAAAATTCTTTCTGTTTAAGTACAAGTATGCAAAAAGTTTCAAAATTAACCCAAGATGTTTAATGGCCTTAAATATCTGGGGTGTGGTACTAAGGTTTAAGTCAGAGGTCTTCAAACTTGGCAACTTTAAGGCTTGTGGACTTCAACTCCCAGAATTCTCCAGCCAAAGTTGCCAAGTTTGGGGAACCCTGGTTTAAGTAGAAAGAGGTTCCAGCTGAAAATATACCATGAATAGAGATAGCATAGAGATGCATGGTAGCTCCCCCCTCTCCCTCCCTCCCTCCCTCCCTCCCTCTCTTTCTCTTAAAAGGAAGAAGAGAAAGAAAGAGGGAGAGATGGGAGAAAGAAAGAAAGAAAGAAAGGGAGGGAAGGGAGAAAGAGGGAAGGGAAAGGAATGTGAATGAGATATGGATGGATGGATAGAAAGAGGGAGGGAGGGAGGAAAAGAAAAAGGAGAGGAAAGGACCACAAACCCTGGCACTAGACATAGCTTCAGAGAATGCTTTGAAACAGCACAGCAATCCAGGGCTGGAAAGGACCTCAGAGGTTATCTAGTCCAATCCCGCTCCAAAAACATTGTTAAAGTTAGTTTCTATCTTTTGACCCACCCAGTCACGTGACCACCAAGCCACGCCCAACCAGTAAGGCATGCCAAGCCAGTCCCATGACTACCAAGCCACACCCACAAGTTAGGCCACACCCACAGAACCAGTTGTTAAGAAATTTGAATCCCACTCCTGGATGTTGGTGATATTTAAAAATCCAATCTGACCAAAAATCCAATTTGTACCTTAAATTGTGTCTTCAGGGCAACTGGTAAGCTAGATCTTTTAGTACAGATGTAGTAATTCCTGCATTTTACAAACCCAATCACAACATTTTTTTTCAGTTGAAATTTTAAGATACTAGAGTAAAGAGCAGACCCTCATCATATGGCTATAATAATTTAGCTGGGGCATAAATGAAACAAAAGACAAGCAAATTTTTGCATTCAAAGCTGACTGAATTAGCTATAACTCCTTACCATGGCTATTTCCTGAAAGCAAATCCAGATAACAAATCCACTTAAAGAGCACTCCTAACCTGAGATCCTGATCTTTTGGGAGAGTCTAAAGTCCTTAGTGCCTACTGCTTGACACAGTTGGCAATAAAACTGCCCTAGGGCCTCTGGCTCATTTTAGGAAGGAGGAGGTGGAGGAGCAGTTGACTATAAATTATGAGAAGGCAAATGGCAGTTATCCTAAAACAGCAATACAATCCATAATTAGAGTACAGATAATCAGAAAAATGAACAAGCTAAGTATTTTAAATATTTAGATGTTTCAAGTATCTAGAACCAAAAAAGGTAATGCAATTTATGCTTCCAATATGGTCCATGACAGTGTAGTTGCCATTTTAAAATTTCACTGAAACAAGGGAGGATACTTTATTCCAGATGCTGCATAACTATTACGCAGGTGGGATATGCTTCCAGTGTAATTTCCAATGAAAAAAGTGCAGTCTGGCTTTCTGTTATACCTGTTTATGGCCCTCAGGAAGCCAGTGCAGAATTAAGATTGTAGGCAGGACTACCCATAATTTAGATCACAATTTGGAAATCACTGGCTAAATGACTGTGTTCTTATTTTTTTATTTACCTCCTGTGTGTATGGGTCCTTTCCTAATCTTGCTTTAACACTTTCATGTCAGCCATGTTGTTGTTGTTGTTGTGAAGTCGTGTCTGACACATTGCGACCCCATGGACAACATTCCTCCAGGCCTCCCTGTCCTCTACCATCTCCTGGAGTCCATTTAAGCTCACGCTGACTGCTTTAGTGACTCCATCCAGCCACCTCATTCTCTGTCGTCCCCTTCTTCTTTTGTCCTCAATCATTCCCAGCATTAGGCTCTTCTCCAGTGAGTCCCTTCCTTCTCATTAGGTGGCCAATGTATTTGAGTTTCATCTTCAGGATCTGGCCTTCTAAAGAGCAGTCAGGGTTGATCACCTTAGGACTGATCTGTTTGATCGCTTTGCAGTCCAAGGGACTCGCAGGAGTCTTTTCCAGCACATTTGTGCGTTATATAATAATTTAAGATTAAATTAGTCACTATTTAAATGTGTCAAGTGGGACTGAATAATTTTATAGCAGTTACTCATATCATTTCCATTACAAAATGTTCTAACTTCACAATGCAGTTTCAGAACAAAATGAGTAACTGAAGCAGTAACTGTGCTTAACTATCCAGAGTCATTGGGAGTTGAATGGCATATAAATTTAATGAATTATTACATGTATGTGTGTGCAGTCAGTCAGATGTTTAGACTGGATTTTGCATTTTTGTTCACATATCAAGTCCTTTCCCAGGACCTGGGATAGGCATATGTTTTAAAATTAAAGGTCCCTTCAAAGGATGTAAGCTTTTTCAAGTAAAGCTGCAATTGACTGTTGATTATTATATCATTAGAGTACTGTAGTTTCTTCATTTTCTATTACTTTGTCTATTTTGTGGGCTTACCAGCTTTTGCCTGCAATCAAGTGGTTATTTCTCACAAATATTCCAAAGTACTATTCTTGCTAATTTGTCATGCTGTTGTTGTACAATCTTTTTTTAGCAGGTAACTAGATGGCCCATTGTTTAATTAGCTTTTTGTAGATATGATATTTGTTACTAATTGCTGTCTTCTCATTTCCAGCTTAGTATGCATTTGTTCTGAAGACTTGGTCTTGTGCAGTAAGTATCTTTCTTCAACTTTCCTGCTCTTACTTATTTCCAGGCCTTGCAGTTATAGGCTTTGCTTGCTGTACTGCTCATATAACACTTTGCTTCTCCAGGTCTCTTTTCCATGCTAAATTTGGTATTCCTTTTTAGGTCACTTTGGTCTCTTGGGAATTCAGTAAGCTTTCATGGTTCACTAGCTTCATTGTACCTTCTTCCTGTCTCTCAAATATTCTTGCCCTTTTCTCCATTATTTCTGCTATTGTTACAAGTTCTTTCATTTCAGTTTTTTATTCCTTCTCCATTATCCAAGTTGCATTCTTTCTTATTTCTTTGAATTGTTCCATAGCTGTACCCAGAAACAGCTGCACTATTTCTTCTTTGACAGATGTTTGCTGGTTCATTGAAGTTTATGTTGATGGAGTGATATGTTTCCGATTTCACTGAAATTGGAGAGTCTGCCTTTAGTGTGCAATTCAAGCTTCATGTTTGCTGATTTCACTTTATAATTTCCAGTGCTTTCTTGATCTTCCTTGTACCTAGGTAAAAATTGGCCGATTGCCAGATGCAGCTTCTCAGCTGGGATTTCTACAAATTAGGACCTTTTCTCTATAAAGTCTGGATTGAATCCACCCCCACAATCTTTTTTCTACCAGTCACTAAATCAATATTTTTGCATGCTCCATTCCTACCTTCCCCATTTTTTGACACAACTTCAATCATGAATGCTACTAGTTGACATCAAAGTTATACATAAAACTTATTGTCATCTAATGGATATTTGGATTTTTGCAGTCCAACTCTGATGGCCAATATAGAATGAGGAAAATGATTTTTTATGGAGATATGTAGGAACCATTGTCAAGACAGAAGGATCTGAAGAATTTTTTAAATTAAGTGTGAGAAAACATTAAGAAGCATCTCAGAGAGACACTTCTGAAATTCATCTATAAAAAGGGGGACGATGTACAGCAATCAAGACTTTCATCTGATATTACTATGACTGATCTTAATAAAAATAACTAACTTTCCTGTGGTCCCCTGGTCTGGACCATCTAATAGGGAGTATTCTGCCTTAGAAAAAGGTTAAAATATTATTTATGTCATATCTTCAAAAACCATTCAGCACAAAGGACTCTGTAACGAGTGAATTCAGCTGAGCAGAACACCAGCAGTTCTTGCTAATAAAATTGCCTGTTTCAGATTGTCTCTAAATTGATCCTGATATTAGTAGGACTGAGTCTCACCCTATATATAATTAGGATTTTGGAAAAGAATTCTTAATCTTTAATACTCTTGACCAAAGTTATGGCTACTAAGAAAATGGCTGTAAATGTAAGTAACCTGACTATTATGTTGGTAATATAAATGTTGGACCATAAGACTGATTAAGGCCATTCTACCCTTTGAAGTGGGAATGAATGGGGGGGAAATTCTCAGATAACTTCTAATCTACTCCTTTGTGGAAGTTAGGATCCCTATATCACCCTGACAAATTGCTGTCCAATTTTTTCTTGTAAACCTCCAAAATGGACCATTTTCTACTCTAGGAGGCAAGCTGTTCCATTGATTAATCTTCCTGTCAGACAATTCCTTATTTATTAAATACTACTACTATTAAAATTAAAAACAGCAGCCTAACATTTAATTCAAATTCTCTAGAATTTGCTATTCTCTGCTGTTCAAATTCTCATAGAAAAATTTGAAAATACTAGCTCCATAATATTTGGACAAAATCTATGGACAGATGAGGAAGTCTGAGGAAGATTCACCAGATTTAACTAGACTTTGACAATATAAATATTTTTAGAAGAAAACAAAGATCTAAGGTCCTTATCTAAGTAACACAAATTACTTAACTATTATAGTTCAGTATCTAAATTATTAATAGGAAGGCACTGGGTTCCTAAAGAAAAATAATTCCTTCCTGAATGGAATCACCCAGCAGTATAGTGTTAGCAGAGCAGAAAATGAATGTGATATCGCCAATATGGCACTCTAAAATTCCTCTATCTTTGTTCATGAGTCATGAATTAAAATGAATAGAGTTGCAAGACATGGATAAATCAATTGGGTAGTAGGCGCTTACCAATTCTGGATGTGAAAACCACATAAGAGCTGAATTTGAGTATAGCTTTTGGTTACAAACAAGGCTACAACTTTTTGAATTTTAGAACTGTTATAACTTTCTAACAAATGTTCTTCTAATCTGATCACTAGTCAAATTGAAAACTCATGCTAGTTTTTTAATAAGCAAAAATGAAATTCTACCGAATGAAAGGCCTCATATGCCTCACTTTTGAGAGAGATGTGTTGTATCCAGATCTCTTCATTAAGATAATTTGTAGATATTTAGATTTCATCTGGACTTCCTTTTATAGCATTGCATTTCCTTGTCAGAAAAATACAAAAAGTTCAGAAAAGTTAAGGTTTGTTGGCTCTCTGTCCAGCTCCACTCCCATTCTGCCATGTCTTTATTAATCATTTTTTAAACTAAGGTGCCATCTCTGGTTATGAAAATTGGGTAGACTCCCTAAAAGTATTTCCTTCTATTAGCTTAGTTCTACAAACATAGCTAGACAGCATCAAAATAATCAAGACATGTTTATTATTATTAATATAATACTTACACTTCTATATTTTACAATATATTCTAAAATAGGTGCTCCTCCATCATCTTGTTTTGTTATGCTAAGTTTAAAGTTTTTCCCACTACCTGGTTGTCCATGAATTGTTGGAGGACTTGGTTCGCCTAAAAAAAAAAAAAAATAAGATATGCATTTATAGACATCATTTAGAGGACGGAGTTGTGCACAGTCAATTTCCTTTAGTGCTTGTCTTAAATGATATTTATTTGATAATATTGAAATAATTCCCTAAGATACAAATACACTGCTCAAAAAAATAAAGGGAACACTTGAACAACACAATGTAACTCCAAGTCAATCACACTTCTGTGAAATCAAACTGTCCACTTAGGTGGCAACACTGATTGACAATCAATTTCACATGCTATTGTGCAAATGGAATAGACAAGAGTGGAAAGCATAGGCAGTTAGCAAGACATCCCCAATATAGGAGTGGTTCTGCAGGTGGTGACCATAGACCACTTCTCATTTCCTATGCTTTCTGGCTGATGGTTTGGTCACTTTTGAATGCTGGCAGCTCTGTCACTCTAGTGGTAGCATGAGACAGAGTCTACAACCCACACAAGTGGCTCAGGTAGTGCAGCTCATCCAGAATGGCACATCAATGTGAGCTGTGGCAAGAAGATATGCTGTGTCTGTCAGCGTAGTGTCCAGAGCATGGAGGCACGACCAGGAGACAGGCTAGTACATCAGGAGACGTCGAGAAGGCTGTAGGATGGCAACAACCCAGCATCAGGACCTCTACCTTCACCTTTGTGCAAGGAGGGACAGGAGGAGCACTGCCAGAGCCCTGCAAAATGACCTCCAGCGGGCCACAAATGTGCATGTGGTTGCTCAAACGGTCAGGAACAGACTCCATAAGGGTGGTATGAGGGCCTGATGTCCACAGGTAGGGGTTGTGCTTACAGCCCAACACCGTGCAGGATGTTTGGCATTTGCCAAAGAACACCAAGATTGGTAAATTCGCCACTGGCACCCTGTGCTCTTCACAGATGAAAGCAGGTCCACACTGAGCACGTGACAGACGTGACAGGGTCTGGAGACGCTGTGGAGAACGTTCTGCTGCCTGCAACATCCTCCAGCATGACCGGTTTGGTAGTGGGCCAGTAATGGTTAGGGGTGGCATTTCTTTAGGGGGCCGCACAGCCCTCCATGTGCTCACCAGAGGTAGCCTGACTGCCATTAGGTACCGAGATGAGATCCTCAGACCCCCTGTGAGACCATATGCTGGTGCGGTTGGCCCTGGGTTCCTCCTAATGCACGACAATGCTAGACCTCATGTGGCTGGAGTGTGTCAGCAGTTCCTGCAAAGATGAAGGCATTGATGCAATGGACTGGCCCGCCTGTTCCCCAGACCTGAATCCAATTGAGCATGTCTGGGACATCATGTCTCGCTCCATCCACCAACACCACGTTGCACCACAGACTGTCCAGGAATTGGGGGATGCTTTAGTCCAGGTGTGGGAGGAGATCCCTCAGAAGACATTTCTGCCACCTCATCATGCCCAGGCGTTGTAGGGAGGTCATACAGGCATGTGGAGGCCACACACACTACTGAGATTCATTTTGACTTGTTTTAAGGACATTACATCAAAGTTGGATCAGCCTGTAGTGTTTTTTTCCACTTTAATTTTGAGTGTAACTCCAAATCCAGACCTCCATAGGTTGCTAAATTTGATTTCCATTGATAATTTTTATGTGAGTTTGTTGTCAGCACATTCAACTATGTAATGAACGAAGTATTTAATAAGAATATTTCATTCATTCAGATCTAGGATGTCGTATTTTTGTGTTCCCTTTATTTTTTTGAGCAGTGTATATTCAGAACATATCATATTAAAGATATAGTTTCTTAGCCACAATCCATTTATTAAACTACAGTGCTAGTAAAGATGATTAATCAATCAATCGATCAATTGATAGACAATAGATCATTTTCTTCACAGCAAATAGTATACTATAGGAGGAAAATAACAGAAATATAAAAAATATGAATTCTGTACTTTGAAAGTGACAAAAATAGAGGAAAATTTAAAGAAAAAATGTCAAAAATAAAATAACCAAAACAACAACAACCTATCATTACAGAATTGTGTGCTCCTACATGGAATGGGTGTCTATTGATCTATGAGGGGAAATAACATCCACTGTAGATCAATGCACTAATCATACTAAATTTTATCTTTAATTGTAGATATTATTGCTGATGTATCTATGAGGGAACAGAGGTAAGGATTGAATAAATCTTCCCCAAGAATTTCTTTACAAAAAACATAATTTCAATTGTGTCATAATTCTGCAATAAGATAAGAATACTATTGTGATATAATTGTCTACTAAGTTGTCTGTGTTTTCTTTAATATAATTTTGAAAATTTGATCAACTTACTGCTAAAAATTTGAACATATTGTGTATCAATATTTCACAACTATCTTAATAAAAGATAGAAAGTTAACTTTCAAAACATAATGACCAGGGGTGAGATGCAAATATTTTTATTGCAGGTTCTGTGGGCATGGCTAGGTGGGCATGACCATGTGACTGGGTGGGTGTGGCTTCTTTTTTTTGTGGCATCTACCCCCCCTGTGCTGTTTTTTTTCCCTCCTGGGCCTCAGGGAAGCCTCCTGGGAGGTTGTTTTTGCTCCCAGAAGGCTTCCCTGAGGCCCAGGAGGGAAAAAATGGAGCACGCCCCTTTTTGCCTCCTGGGCCTCAGGAAAGCCTCCTTGCCGAAGCAATAAGACAGTGAGGGGGATCCTGGCACAGCTGATCATTGGAACAGCTGATCACTGGGAGGAAAAAAAGGAAAACGAAATAGCGGTTCAATCAAACCGGTAGCTGTTTTTTTTACTACCGGTTCAGTCAAACGGTAACATTTTTTCCCACTACCGGTTCACTTGAACTGGGCCGAACCGGTAGAATACCACCACTGATAATGACCTGAAACTTGGGATTTATATTATAAGACAGAATCTATAAATGTTGATGACATAAGCAGAAATCCTGTCTTCAAAATTGCCCCTGCTTTCAAAAAGATGGTCGTATCCTCACAGAGGAAGGTTTATATTAAGCTGACTACATGAAGGAAGTTGTGGCCAAGAGAGCCTTTTCACAACTTCATGTTATGCATCAGTTGTACCCTTTCCTGGGTTATGAGGCCCTAAGTCCAGTCACTCATGTCTTGATTATCTCAGTTGGATTACTGCAATGTGTTCTCTATAAATCTATCCTTGAAAATATTTGGAAGCTACAATAAATTCACTTTAATAAAAAAAAAGTGTATCTGAGCTAGCTGAATTTTTGTCTCTCTTAACACAAAATGTGATTAAAGATGTGTTAACAGGCAAAGAGCCAATTCCTTATTTACACATTTTTGTTTAAAAAAAAACAGAAAAAGAAATAAATCAACAAGAGAGACAAAACAGAGATACATACATTTTCAAAACTTCATAATGGGTGGTTAAATATAGAATATAATATGTTGCTACAGCAGTAAATAGTTACAATTGTATATAGTTTAATACAAACATTATGAAAGAATGTATCTTTATAGCTACTATGTTTTTTAACTTACTGTATTTTGCATACATTACTCATTATTTTATTATAGTATTTTTCAATATAAATTTCATTATATTTATCCATACAAAGTCTACATTTACAGTATAGGCAATCTGATCACAATTATACAGCAAGTGTAATCGGGTATTTAATACATTGAGTAAATGTGGATATATATATATATATATATATATATATATATATATATATATATATACATACATACATACATACATACATACATACATACATACATACATACATATATATTTCCAGTGTTTCAATATTAGACTTTTAGCTATAATAAGGGCATTGAGAATCCATTTATGTTGTTCAGATGTTAAATGCCATGTACTTGTTATGTAATTCAAAAGAATATTATGCTCTGAAAATTTTAACTTTTATTGAACGCTCACATTTATTTAGTCCACTACTTTCTCTTAACAGATAGTAAATTCAAGACATTGTAAACAGATGTGTTTAAAATAAGCATTGTCCTTATTACACCTCCAACAAAATCCTAGACAATCTTTACCTATACAGATTAGAATCTATACATTACAGATGTCATGGAGTCAAAAAAATTCTAAATATTATTTTTTGTGGTATTCTATGAGCTACAATTAAACATTCCCTCTATAAAACTAAAATCACTCTCCTATTGTTTAAGCAATATAGGAGTCTCTAATTCTTTATTCCATCAACTCTTAACATTTGTGTATCAAATTTATTGATAGCAAAAATCTAATAGTTTTTTTTTTTAGTTTTAAAAAGTTTAACATGTTGATCTAGTATCTTCGATGTCTCAGGAGCTAAAAATGGAGCTGATCTAAATAATGTGGTTAACACATATTGTAGCTGTAAATAATGTCAGTTATGACTTCTCCATAAATTCAATTTAATATGGCAAAAAGAATTGAATCCTTATTTTGGCAAAGAATCTATTTTTTAAATAAAATCTACTTTGTGTGTGTGTGTGTGTGTGTGTGTGTGTCTGTTTATATGCATGCACACATATATAAATAATTGAAGTACATATAAAATGCTTTAAGAAACTACCATATAGCCATGTCATTTAAATAAATCCATTGCTCAGATTCAATTGATTCCAATATAACAAAAGCAGTAATCTATTCAATCTTGTAATTTCTACAATCATTTTTTTTTAATGAACATCAATATTTGGAACCTAATTGTGAAACCCAGAATTACTTTCTTAACAGTGACAATTCAGTTACTTCATGTATCCTATTTATGCAGAATTATCAAACACTCATAAGCAAATTCAGGAGTATTATTGTGTCAATTTTTACTTGTGATGCATAAAGGCACATGTCATACAAAATTTAAAACTGAACACCAATAACTTTTTAATAAATGTGATTTAAAGCAGTGGTCGCCAACCAGTGGGCCGGGGACCACTGGTGGTCCGCAAGAAAATTTTGGTGATCCACAGAGAAATGTGCACCCCCCAAAGCAATTAATCCAGGCTGCATGGAAACACAAGGTTGCGCCACCCACATGGCCTGAGGGAACACAAAGCTTGTGTCGCTTGCATTGCAAACAACATGACATAGTGAGGGGAGGGGGTAAAGGGCAGAGGGGGGAACTTACCCCATTCACCCCACGCACCTCGCCTGGCCACCGAGCTGCTTCTTTCTTCTTTTGCTTTTGGCTGCATGCAAGGAAAGCAGCAAAAGTCTTTCTTTCTCTCCCCCAAATGCCACCAGAAATGAGTCTTTGGGACATTGCAAGTCATTCTTCTCCAAGAGGCTGCACCAGCATGACAAGTCCCACAAAGATTCATTTCTGGCAGAGTTTGGGGGAGAGAAAGAAAGACTTCTGCTGCTTCTGCTGCTTTCCTTGCATGAAGTCTCTCTGTCTCTACCCCTGAGAACAGAGCTGGAGACAGTATCCTGCAATCCCAAATAAAGAACGACTGATCAGTAGGAAAACGGGGTGGGGAATTTTTCTGTAGACTTTTTTGGTGATTTTCCCAGGGTCACTGGTCCACGGGATTTAAAATTATGAGTTTGGTGGTCCCTGAGGTCCAAAAGATTGGCGACCCCTGATTTAAAGTAGCTTATTTTACCCATAGGGTAAAACAATAAATTACTTACGAACTGGTAAAGTCTGAAATATCTCAATTTTACTATATTCTCCTTGCCCTTTTCCATTTACAGCAGCAACTTTTATTTCATATGTTGTATTTGGTTCCAAATTGTTGAGAATAACCATAGCTGAGAGAAAATGAAGAAAAGTTTTATTTAAAAAAAGAATATTTTATGTGAAAAGGGACACATTTGGTTGTAACGGTTCTGCTTCATTTATTTCACAAGGTTAACATCAAGACTAGGTACACTGATTTTTATTTGGAAGGAAAAAATAGTCATTCATAAGGTGTGTTGTGTGCACAAGAAGGTGGAAATAATGTATCCAGTTGTAACTATAATCTATTTAACAAATATAAAATGCAAACATATTGTTATCCATTAGTTATTGCACATATAAGTGAAAGGAAACTCATAATACCTTGATATTACTCCATAAATAATCAATACTTAAATAAATATGGCTGTTCTATTTATAACTACTATAATTAATAAGAAACTATGGGTGAATTAATATTTATTTGTTTGTTTGTAAAATATGTACAAGATAACAAGTATAGGTATGAACATAAACATGAACAAAGGAAGTGAATACAGATAAATGGGGACAGTGAGACAGGGATGGTAGGCATGTTGGTATGCTTATGCGTGCCCCTTTTATGCTTGATTTGAAATATGTGATTTTCATGGCTGTTCAAATCTTGAGAAGGGACAGAGAGGTATAGATAGCAATTTACTCTGCTCTCCATTTACTCTGCCTATTCTTTGTCTGCAAGATTGTACACGCTACGTTTCATTCTATATTTTTCTGTACATATTCTGTACATGGAGCTCTTGTTCTCTGACTCTCATCCTAGTAGGATGGATGTAGCACAGGATCTGAGATGTTGCATAGGATGCAGTTCATTAGATGCTAAGCTTCCCTTATCCCTATCATTTATTTCATTCAATAATTTATTTCTTCACTATTTTTACTAAGATTCAGTTCCCACTCTCAGGTATTGTCATAGATTTACATCTGGTTTGCCCCTATGAGAAAACAACTGGATAGTAAAAGAAAAGAAAGAAAAAAGTAGTTAAGCTTGTGTAACAATCTGCAAAGCACAGTGAAGATGGATTAGATTTATTTAATCACAATACTTTGAGAAAGAGATGCTGAAAAAAGTATCACAGTATTGTTCTAAGCTTAGATCAATCTTTGTTTCCATTTATCTGTCCAAGAAAATCTTTTTTTAAAAAACATAAAAATTGTGGGACCTGGGACAACATAGCATTGAAATGTTTGACTGAAAATATAGCATAAATTTGCCACTGATTACATCTACCATCAACTGAGGACATACTATATTTTTCTATGATTCTATTGGCACATGAGTGGAATAAGAACAACAGCTGATATTTATGTTTCGTAATATGCTTGCAGCTGCACATATTCTATTAAAATGTTTCGTGTGTCTTATGTAAAGTCATATATAATTTATATTCTATTTCTGTCAAAATAACAACAAATAAATAACCGCTAAGAGAAAAAGGAAAAAACTGCTCCCCTGGTAGTAAGATTACAAAAGCAGATATTTATAAAAAAATAATAATTGCAGATTTGTAAACAGGAACAAATGATTCAAAAGGCATGCCATTTTTACAGATATTGCTCACAAAAATTATATATGCCTAAGAGCTATTTTTCTGGAAATCATCATATTAAAAGGGAAAGGGGGATAACTATGTCCACAATTTTTACCTGGTGGTCAAAAACTTATCAATATTCTTCCAAAGATAAAAAATATACAATAATAAACAATGAATAATAACTTCTGAAACTACTACTGAATTTCAACAAAGCAAACAAAAGTTATTCATTTACAATATTAGTCAGTAAAAATGCTATTAATTTTTACTGAATAGAAGATATTCAAAATGTGCATTTAATTTATTACCAAAAAATGGTTTCTAAACAAAGACCATGTTTATTTTTTAGTACCATCTAGAGTAGTAGTTCTTAATTGTGACTTTAACACTGTTCAGTGGGCCCTCCAAATGCTAAGGGAGTTGTTGCTGTTGCATCAGGGCTGCTGTAGCTCTGAATGTTTAGGGAATCTGCTCTTTTCCTGACATGTCTAAAATGTGTCAGTCAGAAGCATAACAGTATATTAATTAAAAGTATAAAAATTAATCAACCAGTCAACTATAATCTCTTTAATCTTATAATGAATGGTACCCTGCCATGCAAGGTTAGGAAAAGTTGAAAAGTAACTGAATAGCTGAAGACAGGTAGAATTTTGGCATTCCCCAGTCATAATTTGAAAATCTAAAGAAGTTTTCTAAATGACAATCTTCCAGGAATTTCCTAGAATGTTTTATTTTGGCTTGGTCTAAAAGGCTAATACTTTTTCAATTGATAACTGTAGTTGAGTCTGTTCAAATATCATGAGATGAAGGTATTTTTGTCATTCTTCTAATAGCTTAAGTGGTGTTCCTGGATGTATTATGATAGTCTTCTGCCTATCGGTCCTACATAGTGATGTTGCAATCCTTGCACTGCAAGGTACAAATGACTCCTGGTCTCTCCCCCTGCCCCCCGGGTTACTGAGTCTTTTAGTTTGCTTAAAATGTTTTGGAAGACTTTAGTTGGTTTGTATGCTACAGTGTGATCGTACATAATTATAGCAATCTGTTGGTCATTTCTATGATATTTTTCATGTATAGGAGTATAATTCTTTTTACAGATTGCATTGGTTGTACTGTAGTGGTTTATATAGTCAAGCATTTTTTTTATAAAGTACAAGTTTACAACATTATGTTGTAAGCTGTTGCATAAGTGATCTGTTTCCTCTTTCTGTTGTTTCAGATTGCTTGTGCTCATCTGAATAGCATTCTTACAAAGTTCCTCTTTTGGGAGGATAAATACAATAGTTACTTTGGAAGTGGAACATTTGTTTAGCATAGATTGCTTTTCAATAGGCTTGGTTTGTAGTTGCCATTGTTTTCTCTGCTGTTGATGATACTCAGGAAGGGGAAGTGTGCTGTTGTTTTTTCTTGTGCATTTTACACCTTCAAATATATTGTTTCATTGTTTCATCAATCTTCTTGAGTTATTACTTTGCTATGACAAAGGTACTGTTTACATACCAGATCCATACTTTTGATTGCATGTGTGGGAGCAATGTAGCTTTTAGAAACTGTATCATATCTCTGCTATCAATTGATCTCACACTCATTTATTACACTCTTATTGTAATAAATGGCTCAAATTTATTAAACACATAGAATCATAAAAATCATTTTATCTCTACAAGCTCTGGCACCAAATTTCAATCTTCAAATATTGCTTCAATTTAATATATGAAAAAATGGTAAAATATATTGATATTATCAACGTTACCATTTTGCATGTATAAAATCTTAGAAATTCACAATATTTCTTGAATCAACTTTCTAAAGCTTATTTTTTTAACACTGCATATTTCTATATGTAATTGACATGCTAGTTATGGTATATCATACTGTTCTTTCAGGGCAAAGGTCTGTGAATTTTATCCTCTTTTTCACATCCAGATATTGTGTAAATTAAGAAGCATAGAATTATAGACAATTTTTTCAATATTGTAGCCTAAGAAATTAATTTAGTAGGTGGTTTATTTTGGTTGATCTTTATTCCTATGCCCTAGTTATCATTGATCTTGTGTTATTTTGTGTGTGTGTGTGTGTGTGTGTGCATGCGTGTGTATTTGTTTATGGCTGTCTTATTGATATAACTTTCAGGGAGTCAGTAAATTTAATGATATATAAGATCACTAGCTGAATGCCCATGCTTCGCAATGAAACTATGTGATCAAGCTATGTAGGAGAAATTCAGTTCACAATCCATTGGCTCAGTGGTGCTTGGTGATTGAAGCACATAAGCCTTTCCTTTCCTTTCCTTTCCTTTCCTTTCCTTTCCTTTCCTCTTTCCTTTCCTTGTTTTTCTTTGAAGATGTTTTTCTTCTCATCCAAGGAGCTTCTTCAGCTCTGACTGGATGGTGGGTAATAAAAATAGTACAACCTTTGATGCCAACGTAGCTTCCTGTTTGGAAGTGTAGTTTGCATCCTTTTAGAGAGTCGTTGAGGCAACTTGGAGGTTTGTCTGTGTCCTGGGTCATCTGAGTGGTGCAAATGGCTGTAGAGTTACTAAGATAATGGAATGTGAGGCAACTGGCAGTTAGAACAGAGTTCTTTTCAGGTAGGGAGAGGAGCAGAACTCCTTAACATCAGAGAATGTTAATTACTGTATTAAGAAATACTAATGTTCTGATGATCATTTCGAAAGATCCTTTCTTAGCAAGCACTTAGAAGCCAAGAGGAACATACATGCCAAATTTCAAATTTGTAGGCTTTATGGTTCTGGAGATTTTGTGATGCTGCATGAGTGATATTTTGCTTTTATATACATAGATTTAATCAATGAGGATCCTAATTGTTTTTCACAGGTCTGAGGATATGTTTTGAAAAAGGGAGCCTTCTCTACCTATGCTAAATCCTTATGAGTAATACAATGCTGGAAAATCAATATTTTAAATGGCATGCATTGGTTAAAATATTGGAATAGGATTGGGAGACTTTTTATCTACATCATAAATTGGGTACTTTATCAGATTCCCTTGTTAATATTATTCTATTTGTTTATACAGGACAAAAATGCACTTGTCTTCACTTGATTTAGTACCACTGCAAATGAGCATGAAAAAGGAAAGCCCAGTCAATATTCCAACATCAATTTTTAAATTCTGCATTACATGAGATGGAATACATCTTTTTATTTTGCAAAGTCATTTTGTACATATGCAGTAACATTTCTTTAAACAGGGCCTGGCAAATTGCTTCTAGGAGTTGAATGAAATAGTGTATGTGAAAATATAATTTAAAAATATTATCTGCAAATAACCCATAATTCAATTCAATACTATACTTCTAAAAAAATATTTTCTTTTAAAAGTAATCTGGAAGTACATGTAATTATGAAGAGTGTTCACACATAGCATGGAAATGTTTGTAAATTTGAAATATCTTTTCATTAATGACACTATACAAGTAACATCTATAATCTGAGGAAATACTTTGCTTTTGACCTTAAAAGAAAAAATGGAAAATATTCTAGGCACAGTAGAATTATAGCCTATTAGAATTCCTCCTATTGAAAAGAATTTGAAAATGACATTCCAGGAAAAAAAAAACTAATTGTTCCTTAAATATATAAATATATTGAAACTGACTAATTATTTTAAGACTCATCCTTTTTTTTTCTTATTGCAGACTTACTCTGAACTGCATGGGAAAGAACAACTTTCCATGTTTCTGAAGTGACTTCTTTTACATCCACTTGGTAATGATGAATTGGGACACCTCCATGAGAATCTGGTTTATTAAAAGATACTTTAGCAAAAGTCTGTGATACATCTACAATTTTCACTCCATGTGGACTGGATGGTACATCTGGGGGAAAAAAATTAAAGAAGATATAATAACACAGTAAAATTAAGCAATATATGAAACAATAAAGAATAAGTTATTTTATTACATGGTGAAAACATTAACAGTATTAAATAAAGAAAACTAATCAGTACACTGAAGGATTGAAAATGGGGTCTGCAAGAAAGTTAGCTTTTTTTGAGTCTAAAATCCTTTGGATAAAAATTTAATGAAAAACTGTATGCTAAGATTTACATATCTAGGTTGAACTTTATGTTACCAATAAATTAAAAAATGCATACAATTATTTTTTATTAATACCAATTCTTCTAAATATAAGGGTATTTTTTACATTTTATTTAACTTTCCCTAGATAAGTGTTGCAGCAAATTCATTCATTTTGGTCCTTTAAATTCCATTTAAGAAAGACAAGTAAATATGGTTAAAATCAGAATTTTACACTATAAAAGATTTACAGGAAAAAATTAAATTACAGTAAAACACTAAAACTATTTTTAATTTGGTATTTTTAGTATACATTGAAAATCAAAGTATACTGAACTCTTTTTTATTGTTATAGGATGTTTTAGAATTTTGGGAAATTTTGGAAAATGAAACTGACATGGGAAAACAATGAAAATCTTCCAAAACATCTCTGAACTCAAAAGGAGGTTTTAAACTTGAATTAATATGCTAAAGAACTCCATTGGACATATGGTAATTTTTTGAAAGAGATCAAAGAAAGATGGATGAAGATACAAAAATACTATACAGTAGATGTCAACATCCAAGAAACCTTAGAAGATATTCCCTATTTACAAGAATCTCGAGTATTAAAAGAGTAAAATCAGCTCTTAAGTGATTATTAATTCTGAAGTATAATCAGTGAACCTCTACCATAGGAGGAGGTCAAGTATATTTCCAATACGAAAAAATTAAGTGTGCAAATTATTATTATTAAAATAATGATACTGTTATTTTTATTTTATAGAACTATTATGAAAACAATACAGTCTTGAAACAATACAATGATTAAAATAAAGAACTATTCTCAATTGTAGTGAAGGCTCAATTAAGGCATATCTGCAAGATAACCAATAAGTTTCTGAAGACTCTGGAAGAACCATTCCCTGCTTCATTATTTGACTGTTGACAACTTATAATCCTCCTCACATCTAACATGTCATTTCAACCCATTGAGTCTGGTCTTGATCCATAATGCAGTAAAATATATGTCCATTCTATTGTCTGTGTAACAACTCTTCAGTATTTGAAAAGGCAATCATCTATTATCTATGCCATCTTCACCTAGATACTGTAGCATTTCCTTGTAGACACCATCACTTTAATAATCCTTCTCTTAACTAGCTCCAATTTATATAGCTATGCTAACTATATTGTGGTAGAGTAGTCAAAATAAATCTGTCTATGGCAAAGTTCAATAGACCAATAACTTGCCATGATCTGAACTCTATGATCTCTTAATGCATTTCAAGATAGCATTTGCCTTTTAGCAGTTATATTGCAAATTCATCTTTAATTTGTGGCCAACAGGGACACATAGTTCCCTTTTACATGTACTACTATCAAGCATGTTATCTCATATTCTATGTCTTTGCCATGTATTGTTACTACCTTGATAGAGATATATCATATAACTTTTTTTTCTTAAATTCAGCTTCATTTATTAAACCTATTCTCAAATAAGATAGATAGGTCTTTTATTTAAAATATTAGTCACCCCTCCAAATTTATGTCATCTGTAAATTTTATAAGGGTCCCCCCAATTGCCTATCCAAGTCATTGATTTAAAAAAAGAAGGAACTGTTGCATGGGGCTTATGGCAGAGCCCTACAGATTTAGTACTTTTCTCCGAGATGAAGTGGAACCATTAACTAGCATGCTTTGAGTGAGATCATTCAATAAATCCATGTTATGCTGTTATCACCTAGGTCCACTTTACTATTTTATGAAGAAAAATATTGTGTTGTACTTTTCAGGGCCTTTGCTGAGGTCCAGGTATATCACATTTCTAATATTCTTCCAGTCTGTCTCCTAATGTGTCAGGAGAAGGAAATAGGTTTAGCCTGGCACCATCTGTTTATGACAAATGTGTGAAGCCTTCTTTTAGTCATAGAATGTCTACACAAGTTCTCACAAACATTTTTTTTTCACAGCCAGTTTGATGACATTAGTCAATATAATATTGGCTGAAAAATTTGTAGCTTCTTGGCTTCTCCCCATTTCCTTTTTTGAAGATAGGAAGATATTTGTTCTCTTCCTGTTTTTTGAAATCTCATTAATCCTTCACAATTTCCCAAAGATGGTTCTGTGACCATCTCTACTACTTCCTACAATAATTTGGGATCCTAAATTCCTTTAAATTAGTCCAATTAATTAACCCTTGAATATCATATCCTTGCATCCTAAGATATAGTCTATATGGCCTTTGAGTTTTGAATTCATTTAAATTTATTATCTCTTAACTACCTTCTCTTTGTCTATAAGAAAGTTACAAAAATTCTTTCTTCCATCACCCTTTCATTACCAATTTATCACTTTTCCCCTGCAATAGATAAAACACCCTCTTTATTTTCCTTTTCTTTTTAACATACAAAACTGAACCCTTTATTTTTTTGTTGTTTGTCTGTCACAAGCTTCATCTTATACTAAACTTTAGCATTTCTCGCAGAGTTTATATAATTTCTGGAATCTATTTTGAATTTTTCTTTGGTTATGCTCCTCTTCTGTTTCTTGTTCATGTTCCTTTTCTCTTCAGTGGTTTAGTGAGTTCTGCATGTATCCATGCTACCTTTTTTTTTTTTTAATCCCAGAGGAATAAAAATTGCATGTGATGGAATTGTAATTTATATTTCCTGTTTTATAGGATTTCTCATCCTTCCTGGACATTTTTCTTCATTAGGATTTAAATTATTAAGCTGAAGCAACTTTTCTGGGGTTTCATCAAAAAATCCCTCTGAAGTGTAGCATAAAACTCTGAGTCTTCTTAGTCTCTGACACTACAGAACGAAGGCAGTGTCCCTGAAGATTGTATTAGCTTTCACAAAGTAGCACCCCCTGGGCAACAGTGTTGTCACCAGGAAATTCTTTCAATCCAAAAGCTTTGTAAGTATTTTTGACATGAATACAGTTAGCTTTGTAGGTATTTTTGACACAAATACAGATGGGCCATAGATTAAAAGATAATATGATCACTTTTTTTCATGTTTGAATCAGGTTGATTGAATCCGGTTGGTGAGTTTTAGGTCCCTGGTAGCTGATTTCCTGTTCTTTTTTTTTATCTTCTCAAAAGTAAATTTGTCAGTAAGAAGAATAAGAACTTGTTGTATCTATGACTCTTAACAGATGTCAAAATAATCAATGTTCTCTATCTCTTTGAAAACTGGTAATCTGTAGCAGAAAGGCTTTATTCATATTTCTGGACTGTCCAGATTCTCTATAATGAACTCTTACAGTAAACTCACTTTTGTGTCTCTGAATCCTTTTACAACTTTAAACAAGTTTTTAGCCCATTGATTCTGAAATTTCTGAGCAAATTGGAGTATGTGGATGAATAGGTGCATGTATGTGTAATTTAGATATTCTGAGCCTGTTTGTTGGGTTAATTCCTTTTCAGTAAACTAGTACTGTGCTCTGGTATTCCAATACTTTGTGCTAATCATCACGCCATAAGGTTTTCACATCAAATTTGTCTTTCTGAATTAGGATAATTCATTATTATTTTGCTTATTTCTCATATTCTGTTCATTTATGTAAAAACATCTGATGTTCTGAATATCATCTATTGGTCCTCTTCTTGTAGCATCCTGTAATGCCATCATGGCCTCCTATTTCTTCTCTTGTATTCTGCTTTCTTGTATAATGTCTTTCATTGCATATTTAGCTCTCTTGTTCCAGGTCAATTTCTTCCTGATGAGATTGGAAAGGTGTCTGCCAAATACCTTGTTTTTTTTTAAAGATATAACCATCTTTTCTCAGGAGTTCTTTTTGAAACTAAGACCATTGTTGTAGAATTCAATCTCATATTTGTCACATTATCTGAATAACCAGTTGTTGATTGCATGTTATCTCTTCTTGTACCATCTCCGGTAACTGGGACTGTTCCTGTCTCCTTCATTTTTTGCCCTATGTCTCATGGTCTCCATATACTTTTTCACTGTTTCCATGGCATTCATTCTCACATGGATCAAAAAGAAAACATATAGTTGTTTGTGGCTTTGGTTGGTCTTGCTAACCTTCTGTAACATCCTGTAGATGGGCACCTGGAAGACAATACACCTCCTACTATGTCATATCAATGTATTCACAACCATTTTGATTTCCCTCAGCAAGAAATCACCCTCCACCATAACATGCTCTTCCTTCTCAAGGTTTATCATTGGTTTCTTCAGTCCATGTGGCCTTTCATTCAATTCATTCATATTTCAGATATGACCATGTGAAAGCCCTTGCTCTTTAAAATAAGAAGTAATATGAATTATTATGGGTCAATTTTTCAATATCTACATTAAACTATGTGAAGACATTATCAGGAATCGAGGAGCTGAATGGTATCAGCATGAAGCCGACACCCAGATCTATCTTTTGAGAGGTGTGGCTCCCTCATAATAACAATATGGAGAATAATAAATTGAAATTATATTTTAAAAAGATAGATTAAAATGTGGGCATTAAGAGGTATGCTGTAATGGATTTTATCTTTACCAACAAATAAACATTGAGGATAATAAAATAAATAAGAATGCATAGTTAAAATTCTTGATTTCAAAAAGTTTAGTTAAAAAATACAAAGACATGGCTAGTTTTAATAAACTAATAGAAATAGTGAGGAATATGCCCTTGGAATTTATTCTTAAAGGAAAGATATCATGGTTGGCTTGGCCTTCTTGTAAGGAAAGTTAAGTATAATGCATTTTGCAACAATACCAATGAGGAAAAAGACATCCAAATATATAATTTGAGTGGATATACAGAATAGATTCATGAAAGGAGTTGGGGTTAAAGACAATGTTTATTGGAATGGAAGGATAATCTAATTACCAAGATTGTTGACAAATCTTCAGCTCAGAAATGTAGGAATTAAGTCAGGAAGGCAAAGGTGGAAAAATGAGCTAAGAAGAGCAAGAGAAGCAAAGTCCAGCAAGATTTTCTTCAAATATACTAGCAGCAAGAAGAAACAAATGAGGTAGTGAGATCATTGCTTACTTCAAATGGAAACATATTAACAGAGCACCAAGAGAAAGTAGAATTCAATTCCTTTGTCTTTACAGCCAGAAGCAGCAGTGATTTGATAGATAAGATTGTGGACAAATGGAACAGGGGAAGGTGCAAGTCAGTAAAAATGTGATAAGAAAATTCTAGATAATTTGAATGAGTTCAAAACATTAGGTCCTGAGGAATGTACACTGAAATACTGAAATGACTGAATAACATTTCAGTCTGTCAATTATCACTAAAGAACCTTGGAAATTTGGGAGATGCCAGGAAATTGAAAAACAACAAATGTGAAAGTGGAAAAATCTTAGTACAACAGGAAGCTTAACACAAATACTTGGAGAGTTTTTAGGAAGCTTCTGGACAGCCACATCCCGAGGGTGATTTAATTGATTTCCCTGTAGGTCACAGACAGTTGTACTAATGATGTTCCACCATACTCTAATTCTCTGGTGGTTTTCATTATTAGGTATCATAATGCAGAGAGATGGTAAACCTGCCTTTTCTGAATGGGATTACATTTCTCCAAAGAAGAAAGTTGGGAGGTGCTTACAAACTCAAATCTTTCTTTGATTATCAAGATTGAGTCAATAGCCAAGAGTTCCTTTTATTAATTTAAGTTGATATAGTAACTGTATTCATTTCTAGAATAAATTAACTTTAAACCTTGTATACATGTTGTAACCTCTAAGAATGCCTATGGCAATGTAGTTCTCATGAACCTTTTTGTGGAGTTCATGAACTTCACTTGGGACAAAAAAGTAGGTTTTGGATAAACTTTAAGGTGAATATATGCAAACTGCCATGATTACTAAGATAATCTAAGTGATTCAATAATAGTTAGCATAAGTTTATATGATGATGACATGGAATCAAGCTTCCTCTGTAAAAGCCTAGTTTTAAAAAATAGTTTAAAGTTTTAAAGTTAATTTATTTCCCATGGAGCTGAAAGGCTTACATTCTATTACCTTTTAAAAAATTCTATAACATAGTTCTGAATTATTCATTTTTAAAAATATTTTACTAATTTCTTTTTAATTGTTTTCATGTAGGGATTTAAAGTTGCTTTTATCATAAATGTAAAACAGATGACAGTGTTCTGAAGCATACTAAAGTATGTAAATATATAAAAGTTGATTTTTATAGATTGTGGATTATAGTTTCTTTATTTGAAGGACACAAAAAACAGAGTGCGGAGACAAGAAATGTAAGGAGAGAAGAGAAGTGAGTATTTCTTTTGTAGATACTATGATATCCAAAAATATGGAAGGTTGCACTTAGTTTAATATTTGGTCTTGTTGAGAAGCTTTTAAAATCATATTTTATATTTCTTTTATTAATTTTAGTACGCTAAAATAAATGCTATTTCTTAAAGGATAGAAATGATTTTTTTAAATCATCCAAGACATTTATTTTTATATTAAAGAATTACTTACCAGCCAAGGCTAGGATATATTCCTGATATCTTTTCCCTATTCTATTTGTGGCTGTACAGTTGTAACGTCCGAAGTCAATGTCTGATGTGGGAGCAATCTTTGTAAAAAGGAGAGAGGGAGAAAGAAAAAGAAAAAAAAGGGAGGGGAGAGAGAAGCATGTTTTTATGTAAAATTGACAGACCTGAATAACTGTACATATAATCTCTAAATATAATCAATGATATTTTTTCATGTGACCAGCAACATTGCAAATAATAGGGTGTTCATTACTAACAATTGTAATCCTTACTAGAATTGTTTGAATTGATTAGAGATGGGGGTCTATAGATGTGATACGAAAGTATCTCAAATAAATGATAACTGGTAAAATATATGCCTGAATTTTTAGTAAATAATATTAATATATTTATGGTGATGGGGAAAAATCATCTTGAACAAAGAAAGTACTAAGTTATCACTGAAAGCTTACCTCTAATATCAATTTATTTTCACTACTATGAGTCTTTAAATGAGTTGTATTTTCTACAGGTAAAACCAATTTTCCTCTTCTCCACTGAATAGATGCTGCTGGATTAGACAGAACATCGCAACTTATGTTGATGGGATTTCCTTCCCAAGAATAATAAATTGTTTGATTTGACACAAAGATTGGAGCATCTGCAACACATATTTATAAAAGCATATTATTGTTTTGCCTTAATTTAACATTACATTGATCAATTTAATAACGATATGTCAATTGTTTAAATTTATTAAAGCACTGTTTTAGAATATTATGCACATCCTAATAATACATGAAATATAATCAAAAGTTTCAATTATAATTTGCTCTTTGGAATTATTACTTTAAGAATCAAGTGTAGTATCTGTTCTTATCAGTTTAATATCTGATATGTCCTCTATTTGAGGACTACATATTAAATGGATTTTTGGAACTGGGAGATGGAATAGGGGCTTGCTCCGTAAAATAAAAATTAGAAAAAAAAATAGAAAAAAAAGAATATAAAATAAAATAATTTCAGATAGACAACATCCTATCTATAATGGTGTAAACTATTCAGATTAGCAATATTTTGTGAATAAAATGAATAGCAATTAAAACACTTAATTATGCATTTTCCACAAGTAAAAATGTTCTGGGAACAATTATTGATGCATAAGAGCATCATTTGGCTCACACACACCAAAACCATGACAAGGCAGACTGATTTATTTTTTTCAGGAATACTTTACTCTACACCATATTTGTCTGTTATTTTGTTAAACTTTCAGAGGGCATGTAAGTATTTTGTTTATCTTCACTATGGTCAATGACTGCTATTTTTACAACATTTCAGGTGCTGATTCTTTCTAGTTAGGTTATTTATATACTTAGAAATTTTGTGAATTATGGAACTGTTGGTAATGCAAAAATAAAATAAATAAAATATAATATAAAATAAACAGAAGAATAAAGACAAAAGCAACACAGAAGGAACATACACAAAGATGAAATACAAGTTGTGATTAAATTTCACTATTTAGTATGAGTTGAATTTATTCTAGAATCAAATTGTTTCAGTGATTCTACATGAGGGCTGTCACTTCTGACCCACGGGCCAGATGCATCACATGCTGGCCACGCCCACGCCCGGTTTATTAAAGGGAAAAAGTCCCAATACATCATGTGACACTACCTTGATGACGTGAGTTTGACACACCTGTTCTACAGGAATCATATTTCAAAATATAGAGCCAACTATGTGTCAACCCTGACACTATGATGACAATGTGCTTACAGTCAAGTTCACCCCAAAAATGATAATACTAAATTTGTATTTGTTTATGTATTGTTTAAAAGCTGTTTATAGGTTGGAAAAGCTATATAGAAACATTTTGAAATAATTATAACACAGGATAGTGTAGGGATTTTGACATTTAAATTAGGTGGAAACAATGTCCATGAACAGACACAGAGATGGTATTCAGCAGGTTCTGACCAGTTCTAGAGAACCAGTAGCGGAAATTTTTGAGTAGTTTGGAGAACCGGCAAATACCATCTCTGACTGGCCCCTCTCCCATCTATTCTCTGCTTCCCGAGTCCTGGCTGGATTTTCTTTGGTTGCCCTGCAAAGGAGAATGAAGCTGGAAAGCAGATTACTGGGGTGGGGAAGGAATGGGGATTTTGCAGTAACCTTCCCCCAGGTAGGGAGGGAATGGAGATTTTATAGTGTCATGCCTACCAAGCCATGCCTACAGAACCGGTAGTAAATTTTTTTGAATCCCACCACTGAACAGACTCCCTCATACTTGTTATGTCCAATCATGATGACTTGTTAGAAGGATAGTGAAGTAAATAATACAACAAAAAGCATTAATAATAATTCCACTGACTTTTCTCTATAGACAGTTTTGTTTATCCAACCTTCTAAAATTTGAAAAGAAAATGAAATAAAAGTACAAAATTATGCATTAACACCTGAAGTTGATCTTCTTAATCCTGATGTAAGGTATCTAAATATGCTTGAATCCAATAAATAAAATAAAATAAGAGCCTAAGTCATTGAATCAAATGTACTATGCTGAAGCACCAACTTTAGCAACAAATTGAATTATTATAATTTTGGCAAATAAGACACTATTATGACAGTTAAATTGCAGTGTTGTCATGGCTTCTAATATATATGACAAGTAGTTCAAAATGTGTGCAAAATTAGCAAGGTCAAAATAGAAATAGATGGTACATAATCATAGTTCCAACAGTGATATACTATACTATTTATTTCTAGGCCACATATTGGAAAATAAGGGGATATAGGGAGGTAATAATAGTTAGTATCCTTACTCTTAATCAGGAGATGAAAACCACATTTTGAACTAGTTATATTTTCAAGATAACCTATTCTCAATTCAGAGCATGAATTACTGAAATTAAGCTATTCCATCCAGGAAAATTAATAGCTAATAACTGTGAATATGATTGTTTAGATGGCTAAATCCAATCTAGAACATGCTGAATATATATTCTTTCCATTTTGTTTGAATTATCTTCATATTATTGCACTGCTTCATTTCAGTTCAATACTGATCCCAGTCATCAAGTTGACAAGACTCTTATTTCAGCTTAATAAAATATGAAGGACAATAAGAGAGTAAAGCTATGTTGTCTGTTGATTAGGGTAGAAAGGGAGACCATGAGTTCAAGATCCACCTCAGCCATAAAAGCCAGCAGGGTTATTTAGGGACAGTCATTTCCATCTCAGTCCAACTTACTGCACAAGATTGTTATTGTGGGAAAAATAGAAGGAAGATGTGTTGAATGGGTTCACTGCCTTGAGTTGTTTGTAAATATAATAAAGTTGGGATTCAAATAAATAAATAAGACTTGAAATGCTAGTCTACCAAATGCTAGTCTACCAAATGCTAGTCTACCAAACTTAGAATCATTTACTGACCAGAATCATGCACCTGTCTTCAACACTATTTTCTGGATTTGGTATCTTTCAAGGGAACAAAATCATAAGTAACAATCTGCTCATAAATGTAAAATAGTGTATGAATATACAGTAATATAAGAAGAAAAAAATACCTTCAAAGCAAGATGAACTGAACTTGAAAATGATGCTCTCCCCCACCCCCATCCCTATTCAATGATACATATTCACATTTTCCAGTATATTTTCTAAGATGCAGAGCTTCAAGATGGGTACAAAATGCTTGGAATGATCTGACCAACAATGACTAGAAAGGAGCGACAGTTATTTTTATTGATTTTGATGTTATGTTTCTGTCAATGCAGCAATGATTCTATTTGCTTTTTTTTTCAGCTAGATCATGTTTCAGTTATGATCTGTCAAGACACTGGATATTTTTTCACTATACTGTTGCCATAAGGCTTCCCTCATCACTTGAATTTTCACAACCACTTAATTTTGAAATTATTTGGATAGTTTTCCCATTTATTATACTTTATCAAAACTCAGGATGCTGTCTTCTCCTATTCACCACCCTCTATCTCATTTATAATGTCAGTTATCAATTTACCATATCAGTTAAAATATGTTGAACAGAAGTGGATATCTCACAAAACCTTGATGTGCAACCAAGCACATCTCTCAAGTTTGATGCAGAACCATTGATGTCATACAATTGGACATCTTTGTCAACTAGCATGCAAACTAGATATGAAACCAAGAATATACTGTATTGCAGTAGAGTAATATTACTGTATTACTCTTGCTACCCCGCTTTATGACTTGCATGTAACTTTTTATGTCTCCCTTTGCTTTTCCTTCTGAAGAACTTTTTTTGGTGGGCATTAAAAATGTTTAAGATTGAGAGTCTTAATTTAATATAACTTGCTTATTTCATTCTCAGTACTTCCAAAGGTTTTGGATGGGTTTTTTTTTAAATTGCAGCCATATTTTGTGATAGCTTTCATTAAGAAAGTAGGCCATCAACCTTTTGAAAGATACATAGCTAGAGGTCCTTGATAATGATTGAGAAACTTCATAAAATCAATTTTCTAACATATTCTAACATACAAAGACACTTTCAAACAGAATTACAAGAATTGCACTGGTTTCCTTTTACCTCTTCCCTTTCATTCAGGATGTTGATGCTGCTATAACAACATGAAATTGACTTGAAACACAAAACCTCATTTAAATATAAGTAGAAGACCCAAATTCTTTTGTCTGCTATAAATATACAATTATTAAAGTAGATTATATCTATGTATGAAAATGTGTATATGTGTTTGTGTGAGTGGGTGTGAGTGGGTGTGGGTTTGCCTTACATGTGGGTTTGATATATTTGAATTTAAAAGTCTTTTGGAATCTTAAGATATATGAAGAGTGCATATGTCACTACAACTATAAGGCATAAGAATTACAAGCTGAAAACCTACAGGTACAGAACTCATGTTGCAAAGAGCTTTATCCACTTTATTAGACTCCTCAGATTATCAGGTAATATTGTTAGATATTGCCCCAATCATCTTAATTTGACATAGCCATGTAGAATCCAAATCCGAACAAATAAAGTATGTTTATCAGCAAAATATGTAGCAAAATGCTAGTCATTTACATTTAAATCTTCCTGCCCAACATTTTTCAGCAGGAAACGTTTTTTCTTTAACTGATATTCCTGATGACTAATGGCTGATAAATACAATTTTTGACTACAGTTATTATTATAGTGCAGTCCCAAAGAAGAGGTCTATTCAGTCATATCCATTCTTGGTTTTTCAGATTGATATTCTCAGGCCTCAAATTGGCGGCCTATGGACTGGGTGTGTCACACGCAGGCCATACCCCAGCTCCGCAAAGGCAAAAAAGTTATGACACATCACAATACATCATGTGACACCCATATAGTAGGCATTGCAGCTTTGTCTCCAAGAATATGCCAGGATAAGTGATTGCAAAGATCTATTTGGGAAAAAGTCATCTACACTTCCCTTACTCCCACTGACTTCCAAACAAGGGGGGCTAGAAACTCAGGAAGCAATTCTGTTGGATAGCAATATGATAAATGTAGCAGCAATAACCCTAACTTATTGCTGTTGTGAAATATCACATCAAATTATTGTTAAGAGTTATACATTCCTTTACAAAAAAAATATACAAACAAGAAAATGGATATGAAAATTGCAATTCATACAAAATATGGTTATTTATGCCTGCATATACAGTGTTAGAGTAGGGTATGTAACAGTATATGTGTGTATATGAATTTAATAGTTTTAGGGGGGAAAGTATGTCTTTAATATATACAGTATGTTTAAAGTACCGTATTTATCGGCGTATAACACGCACTTTTTTCCCCCTGAAAATAGGGGGCAAATGATGTATGCGTGTTATACGCCGATATAATGTTAAGAAGCCTTCGGTGAATGCTGCTGGGATCGGGGATCAAGGACACAAATGAAAGAAGGGGAGGGAGGAAGCAACCGAAGCCTGTCCTGCACTCTGGGTCAGCTCTCTCAGTCGCTCTCTCGCTCCTCCACCAGCACAGGAAGAAACTGCTTCAAAGAAGCTGGGGGGGGGGGGCTTTTCCTGTCGCCTTTCTCCCCCACCCCGTCCGCCCGCCCGCCCGCCCGCAGTGCTCCGTTCTGCCTGCCTGCCTGCCTTCGTTAATGGTTGAATCGGAACAGCTTCGGCTGAGTAAAAGAGGCGAATAGTTATTATTCTCAGCCGAAGCTGCTCCCAAACAACCAGAAACTAAGGCAGGCAGGCAGGCAGGCAGAATGGGACACTGTGGATTGAAGCGCGCGCGTGGGGTGGGAGTGGGGGTGAAATTTCCCTCTTAAAATGAAGATGCGTGTTATACGCCTGTGCGTGTTATACGCCGATAAATACGGTATATATTTTAAGTAATGCTCTATAATGCTGTACCATCGACAGTTTGGTATGTACCTTTATTTCCTAATTAATAAGGAGATTGATTTGAACTCAAGGACACCCATCCAATGCCCACCAGCCATAAGCTGCTTTCCTCCATCCATAGCCTGATACATATGGCACTGAATTGTAGCAACAAAAAAGATACATTTTTTTTTTGGCACAACTTTTTTCAAAAAATAGAGAACATCCATTTTTACTCCAACTTTTTTCTTCTTCTTTGTTTTAAGCACAAAATCTTACTGAAACAAAATTTATCATGGAATTTTTTGTTTAAGGGTTAGAAAAACCTCCCATTTGCTTCTACGGCTTTTGGTGACTGGTCACAGAACTATTTAAATATAAGTACAGGTAGTCCTCGACTTACAAAAGTTTGCTTAGTGTTTGTTCAAAGTTACAATGGCATTGAAACATGTGACTTGTGACTGTTTTTCATACTTATGACCATTGTGGCATCCCTGTGGTATTTGTGACCATTGTAGCATCTTGGGGTTATGTGATCACTTTTTGTGATCTTCTGACAAAGTCAATATGGAAGTCAGATTCACTTAACAACTGTGTTACTAATGCAACAACAGCAGCAATTTCATGGCTAGGGTCCAGGTTATCTAAGGAAACATATCTTGCCAGTCACATCCACCCGACCCATTAGAGCGAGGAGGCAGGGAATGTTGCCCTTGAGGTAGATACACCTGGTGGAATCCAGAAGAAGAGCTTTCTCCATGGTAGCCCCGTCTCTCTGGAACATCATTCCCCCAGAGATTTGAATGCCTCCCTCACTAATACTCTTCTGAAAGGCACTGAAGACCTGGTTTTGCCAGTGGGCCTGGGGAACCCAGAGAGCGATGGGGTGATCTAGTGTGATCTGCTATTGTTGGGGAAGGGGGTAAGAGTTGGTTTTTGATTTTTTTGTTTGTTTTTTGTTTTGTTTTCCCAAATTTTGTTCTATTGTACTAATTTATTTGATTCTTTTTGTTAGTTTTTATTATTTTTATTTTTATTTTTTTGTTTTAAATATGGTTTGACATTGTGTAAGCCGCCTCGAGTCGCCAATCAATCAATTTACTTAACAACTGTGGCAAGAAAGATGGCAAAATGGGCAAAATTCACCTAATAAATATCTCACCTAACAGAAATGTTGTGCTTAGTTTTGATTGTTTGTTGAGGACTACCTGTACAACATAAACTGTAAAGTCCTTTGTTATCATATTTAGAGAAAACAAAAAATCTAACTTACATTCAATATCAAGGTACATGCTCTTTTGATGCCCTCCAATTCTACTTGCAGCTTCACAGTCATATCTTCCCGAATCTGTCAATTTCACATCTTTAATGTGTAGTGATGATCTTCCATATTGTCCTTTGACTTCTATTCGACCATCTGGACTCTATTTGTAGAAAAGAAAAGTTAAAATTAACAATTGTAAAATTACATGATACCTATTTTATATATTTTTTGTAATACACACATAATGCATAAACTAAATACTAGTAAAAGGAAATCCTGTGGACACACACACAAAAATTGCCCATAGAACTTAAATTATTCCCTAAAGTTTTCAATCTTTTATCAGCTTGACTATATGTAAAATATGCCCTTCATTACATATTATGTTTACGACAATTTTGGTAGAATTTCATATGACACTTGAATATATTTATGTCATGTATCACAAATTCATATGCCATCTACCTATATGCTCTACATGAAGCAATGATAACATTTAATAATTTAAATATACTTTTATTATATGAATTAAAATAATATTTTATTAAAGAACACTTTCTGATTATATATCATAGAATACTTGGTATTATTTTTTTAAAAAGTTTGGTAAATTACAAGGCATTCAGAAATGTAATTAGTATGTCTAGGTATGGAATCAATAGTGGATATTTTTAACAGAAATTGTTCTGTACATTTGAATATAGTCACTATATATGGTTAGAAATCCACTATCACAAGAACTATTGTCTATATATAATTCCTTGGCATATTAAGGATAAAACTTCAACCAATTACAATTATAGAATTGATTGGCTCAGCAGCAAGTAACCTGGTTATTAATATATTATACCATGGGTGTTAAACTTGCGGCATCATGTTGCTGTCATGTGACATTTTGTGATGTTTTTCCCAGTCATGGGATTCAATTTTTTTTACTAACAGTTCTGTGGGTGTGGTTTGGTAGGTGTGGCAGGGGAAGTATACTGTAAAATCTCCATTCCCTCCCCACTCCTGGGGGAAGGTTACTGCAAAATCCCATTCCCTCCCCACCCCACTAACCTGCTTTCCATCTCTGTTCTCCTGTGCAGGGAAACAAAAGAAGACCCAGCTGATCAGCTGGGACTCAGGAGGCAAATAATAGATGGGTGCGGGACCAGTCAGCGGTGGTATTTGCCGGTTCTCCAAACTACTCAAAATTTCCACTACTGGTTCTCCAGAACTGGTCAAAACCTGCTGAATACCACCTCTGGTTTTTCCCCTTCACAGAGTTGGGGTGGGCATGGCCTGCACATGATGCATCCAGCCCGAAGGGTGCCAGAATAACACCCCTGTACCATACCATTAAAATGATTTTTTTAAAAATCATGTATGTTTATTTACATCATCAGCTTTGAAAGCATTTATCACGCAAGTAATTTGGTCAAGTCAATTCCATTACAGGTAGTCCACACTTAACAACTTCAGGGACAGGCAACTTCATCACTAAGCAAAATGGTCATTAAGTGAGAATTCATATGATCATGACAGCTTTACAACCTCAGTTCCATTGTGGACAATAAGTGAAACATCATGTGATCCCAGCTTGGTACAATCAAGATCGAAAACTTATTGTTTATTTAGGTTGGCAATGAAGCAAAATCCAGACAGACTAAACATTGTAAGGTTGTTATAAATTGCCCTTTCTCTCCTCTCATTTTAGAAACTACAGTGGAAAATTCCACTGATCTATCCATTTCCCTGTCATCCCTCTTGCTTCCCTGTCTTTCATTAGTGGCCATTTTTTTGGCTAACCTTTAAACCATTTCTTTCCAGAACAAAATGTCTCATTCTATTCTATTCTATGCATAGATTAAGCTGCCTGAAAGATTCAGGGACAAAGCAACTTTTCAGCTAGTCAATGTACAAAAAAAATTATGCACATAAAATTCTGAATATCCTTAGGCAGAAAAAGACAAATATATAAATCTTTGATAGATTGACTACATAATAATAGTTAATGCAATTTTATAAGCACTGTAATTACAGTATAGAATCAGTTCTACAATTGATTATCTGCCATCAGGTCAATGTCAACTCTTAGTAACTTACAATACCTTCCAGAAAACCACTTTACATATTTATAGCTCAAAGTTTCAGCAAATGCACTCTATTATCATCTATGGCATATTTAATACATTGTATGCAATTATTATTCTGGATTCTCTACACATTTTCTTAAAAAATACAATAGATGTAATATTAATTGTCAAGTAGGTTTAGATTCCAGTCTTTAAACATGGGTATCAGTTGCATTCTTTTACTGCAATGTATGAAATTTGTTAGAAAAAAAAATCCTACATAAGTATATTTAAATTAAAAATATTGGCAACCAAAGATCCCATTGCACAATCCCTTATATTAATGGGCATCTTTGCAAAAGAGCCTTGCTATTTGGTTCCTTCCAAAATAAGTTGTAATTATGGAATTTATTCATTTTATTAAAACATCTCTTTCTGGAAGCAATCTTCCCTTTTATCATTGCACAGTTATGTCTGCTGTAATCTCTATACTGGTAATAATATCTATAAACGAATTTCCAAAATTGTTGTTCTGTTTTTATGCTTCCTATATTTCCTAAAAAAAAATTCATTATAAGAAAATGTTATCTGGCAAAGGTTATTAGTGCCTTCATAATAATATTAATGGACCATCAGAGCATAGAAATATATGAATTGGCCACCACTAATCAACAGCAAAGACATACAGAAATTTTTTTGATCTCTAATGGTTTTCTGGATTTTACCACTTTGATTTAGTATTGGTGGCAGAGAGAGACTGATAAATAACAAATAATATGTACATTTCTAAGAACAGAAAATATATATTCTAACTTCTTTCAGTGTTTTAGTCAAAATTTCTGACCCCAATCAGAAAAGTCACTTCCCTCCAGTATGGTAATTTTAGTTTCTTTCATTTCAGTAATAACCTCAATTGAAAATACATTTTTACCTTTCTCCACTTCTAGTCTATTGAAATATACATATTTTTGTAACTTAGTCAAAGTGACGAATGTCTTCCGTTATCATATATAGTTGTTTAGTAGGCAGATTTTTCATTTTGACAACAACATAAGAATAGCTCAAGAAGTAATTCTTTTTTCTTTCTGCTTCTATATAATATTCCCTGCAGATTTCAGTGGATATTAATTGGATTTTGCTGGTAACTGTATTATATAGTCCACCAACAAGAATCTGCAGGAAACTATATTATTCCTGTCCAAGAACAAAATTCTTTCAACAGAAACAACATTTATATATTTGATTTACTCATGAGAAACATCAAGTAAAATATACTAGTATTTGATTTTTACATTTTTTTTACTTCCTTTACTCATTTGTCATAACATTTTCAAATATACTTCTTTTGGCTTTGATCTAGAGAATGCCATGTGTCACCAGCCATAATGACAGGAAATAAATTTCTATTATGTACAATACTGTCATTTCTCAAATGTAAGTTGCAAATCATAAGATTGGTAGCTTTGTGGTACTTATAACATCCACCAAATAAATATTCATTAACAAAAGTAAAACAATATCTAAAAAGTTGCTATTAAATATAGATGGTAGGAGAGCCAAAGCAATATGATGCCTTAGATAAAAAATATACATTTTTATCACTGCTACTATTTAGTTCAACTGCTCTTTCCACAAGAACTATCAGAACTATCTCTGGAAGTCAAGTAAATGTTACTTGTAAAGTAAATAAATTTGAATCCTTAACAAAGTATATTGTCATTGTCTTTGTAACCTATCACTTTGTTAAGGAATACACTACTTGATGAATTAGTACCCATGGGACAGATGAATAAATAAGTACTCAGTCTTCAATATCATACAGAAGGACTTTCACCTTAAACAATGATCTAGTTCTTCAGTAGCAGAAAAGCAATGGAAACAGAAAATGCTATCTGAACTGAAGGCATTATTAAAATTCCAGTGGTTGTAACAATTGGTCAAGATTTCCTATGATGAAAAGCTACCTTTGATGAGTAAGGGCTGTCATTCACAACAGCCACTAATGTGGAGAAGCTGATGGAAGCTTCCTTCTGGGATATGGATGAAACTTTCACAATATTCCCCACATTCTTCAGGTAAATGCATTCTATCCATGCACCTGTTGGAAACAGCAGAAAATTCCAGAGTATTGCCACATGTATATTCCTTATTGTCTACTGATTCAGTCATGTTAAACTTCACTTTGTATTTGAAGCATGTGGCTATGTTTTTAATGGAACACCTTGAATCAAATCTATGTCACTTAATTTCTCACATAAACACAAATTATTGTAACATTTATAATTTTCTAAATGAGCTGGTATCATTTCCCATCCTTAGAGAAAACAATTCTTTGTTGTAATTCATTTAAGAAATATATAATATTAAATTATTACAAAAAGATTGTTTAATTGATGTTGCTTTGGCTTTCTGACCATCTTTATAACTAGCAACTAATTTCAAAGATTGGAAAATGAGAATGATTTTTTGGACGCACCAAAAATTACTTAAAAATTATTCTTTATATCCCAGTATAATAATACATTTTTAAGAATATAAGATATGATTTAAGAAATGGTAGCAATATGAGAAATGACTAATTACTACTTTATGCTGGTGTTTTCATGCAATATATTTTGGTAGGTTTTACAAAAAGGTGACACAGGGCATTGTACATACCAAAATATTATTTCTTCTGTTCTTGTAAGAGCCAGGATTGGTGCACCTGTAATTATAGGAAGGTTTTTTTAAAAAAAAAAAAAAGGGGGGGGGGGGGAATGAAGCTAAGGGACACTTTAAATATTTTAATAATAAATTAGCCTAGAAACAAATTTGTTTATGTTTGAATAATATAAACTATTAATACTATTTCTCTTGAGTAATGCCAAAAAACAATATTGAAAAAATGCCGTTATTAAATTTAAATTTGTAAATTCTAGCCAGAAGAGGGGGGGGGAGAAATTATTTCAGGTCATTACCTGAATCAGTGGGACACACCATTCCTCCACTACAGAAGTTTTTTATATATATATAAGGATCCATGAAATTTTTTGGAAGAAAAAAAACAGAATCTTATTCTGCTCGTTATTTTCACTTCTCTTAGCATTTTCATAATACTACAAGA